GGAAATTAGAATGTGTCTATCGTTATTGTAATTATTCAAATCGTCATTCGAAACTGTTTCATTGAGAATTTCGTAAACAGAAATGAAACGACTGTTATTCAGTAATGATGAAGGATCTTTCCAGTAACCTTGATCACGAACTAATATATCCATACTCATTGTTTTCAGTTTTATAATTCTGAATCAGAATAAACTTTAGCTTTAATGAAATTTAACATGTGTCCTTTTTAGAACCAATTCATAATTGTAATAAACCCTCAATGACTCATTCAATATTTACCCAAATAATTTCTACAGACTGTAAATACACGCATTACAATAAAATTGATGTCTCAAAACTTTACAAAATTTTGTGGACACTTTATCGCACAAAAAACATTCAACAATCTTCAAACTTCCAAACACAATGTTGAAGAATAAGAGCAATTTGCAATTGAAAAGGCATATCTTGCTGTTATAACATCAATGAGTGATTATTATCCTCAATATCATCCCAAAAAAATGTCATCTGTTACCTCTCTGACAGCTGCCAGTGTAAAAACTGAGTTTGCTGCCAATAGTGAAGATTCCATTCTTCATAATGAAGCTCTGAAACATGTAGAAGGTAGCTTTACCCCTTCAAATTTCAAAGCTGCCATCCAATTGTCCATGACTTTACTCTTAATTCTCATTGGTGTTTTGTTTGTTGTAAACATTCCTTGGTATTTACTTCCAATTTGTTGGATTTTCTTGGGATTTTGTGCTTGTCGATTGGTTTCTGTTGCGTATGGTTGTTCCACTAATCAATTCTTCAATGTCAAGACACTTCCTGAATGGCTTAACCAATTGGTTGGTTTAGTTTGCATGTTGCCATTGTTGTATCCATTCGAAAATGTGAAATATCTCAAGACCTATCCACAAGAAAGTTCACAACCACACTTCATGTTTGGTGCCATGCTCAAATTAGCAAAGAGTCCTCTCTGGTTCTTTACCTCAATTTGGGAATGCATTGTTACCAATATTTACTTTGACACAAAAGGAAATACTTTCAATAAGATTACCAATTCCATTGTCTTGATTCTATTCGCATCTTTCTTTACCTATTTCATGGTTTGGTTTGGTGGATTCTGGACTTTGTTTAAATATTACTTGGCTCCATTGATGGCTTTCCATTTGATCAACTCAATCATGATGAAGATGAACGAGGCCAATAAGAAGAAGGGTGAAGAATTCACTGGTGTTGTTTCTCTTCCTTTGATTATCGAATTCTTGACTAGTTATTCTTTGAATAATTACAAAATTGCCTTTAAATGGTATGGACACTTTTACAAAACAATTGAAGTTAAAGATCAATTGCTTTGTAAACTCTCAGCTGCTGTTCCACAAACTAAATGGAGAGAAAGCGTTAAGGTTTTGGAAGAAAAGTTTGGAAAGCAATTGGAATTGATTGGTGGTAGAAAATCTGATTCTATTACATGGTTAGATTTCGTCTCATTTAATGGAAACCAACATGAATACGATTATTCAGATATTGTCGATTATTTAGATTTACGTAATATTGACTATATCATTTCCATCTACTTGATTGGCTCTATCATTGTTTCCATTTATGGAATTTTCACATGTCCATTCAATTGGAAAACATATTTATTGAGCTTTGTTTCCATGTATTCGTCTGGTATTGGAATTTCAACTGGTTATCATAGATTCTTTGCTCACTTGTCGTGTAAGGCTAATCTTCCTGTTCGCTTGGCGTTTCTCTTGATTGGAAGTGCTGCCTTTCAAGGAAGTGCCATTAGTTGGTCTAGGTAAGTTTATTCTATTCGAAACTATTTCTAAATTTCATATAGTGATCACAGAAGACATCACAAGTTCATTGATACTGAAAGAGATCCTTACAATATCAAGAATTCATTCTTTCATGCTCACATGGGTTGGTTAATGAAAAATCGTCCAGTTGACCACTCAAATATTCCCGATTTAACAAGTGATCCATACTGTGTCTTCCAACACAAATACTATCCCTATTTGGCCATCTTCTTTGGCTACGTTTGTCCAACTTTCGTTGCAGGATACTTTTGGGGAGATTGGAAAGGTGGTTTCCTCATTGCCGGAGTTTTATCCAAAACCATTCTCCAACATTGTACCTTCTTTATCAATAGTTTAGCTCACTCATGGGGAGATGCCACATTCAACGACGATCACACAGCTCGTGACTCATATTTTGTGAGCTTGTTAACATTTGGTGAGGGATATCACAATTTCCATCACACATTTGCATACGATTATAGAAATGGAGTTCGTTGGTATCATTTCGATCCTGGCAAATGGATTATCTATTCATTGTCATTGTTTGGTTGGACCTATGAATTGAAAAGATGTGACGATCAACATTATGAGAAGGGAAGAATTCTCATGAGGCAAAAAGTGATTGATACAAAGAGAGAGGAAATTGATTCTGAGTTGAAAGAGTTGGAATTGTTGAAATTGAATAGGGATAAATAAAGAGAATCAATTTTTATCATGTATTTAAGGAGGAAACAAATATTGAACTAGGTTGTGTGTAAATTTGATTGTAAACTCTATATAAAAAAAATGCCGTTATTCAGGTCGTTGCATCATGCTTCGGAGAAGAAACGCGATTTGTCAGATTTGATCACAACACAGCAAGAAGAACATGAAGAAAAATCAGAAAAATTCAAAGCAAATTCTAGGAAATATAATTCACAATTTACCAAACAAAAATTTACAAATTCGGAAGGGAAATACAATTTTTCCTCTTCAGCACATGTTGTATTTCCCTTCATGATGAAGAATTCATGGACGGAAATTGCAAATATTTTGAAAGAGAGCGAAATTTCATCAAGTGCTGAATTTGCTGCAATTGTGAGGAAAATTCAGAAAATTTCCTATCAATCACATGATAAGAAACAAGTGGAATCAGTTCTAGTTCAAGATATTAATCTATTGAGTATGTTATTGGATGAGAAGAGTAGTGCAAAGTGGGAAGGACGTCCAAAGTTTTTTACTGAAACATTGCCATTCATCATTGAGTTGGTTTTGAAATCTGAGAGCATTCTTGGATCGTATGCTGGTGATTTGTATGAACATGAATGTCAGAGACAGTCAACTATAGTGTTGAATGAAGGATTACTGCCAATATTGGAGGAATTGAACAAGTCATCAATTAATAATGAATCAAGAGCTGTGAAATTGACTAAATTGGAATGTGCTTGTATATTGGCAAATAGTTTCTTTTGTACATTTTCAAGATTGGGAGATGTAAAGGAAGGAACCTTGAAAATTACAAGTATTAACATGGATACTCTGTTTATCAATCCATACATTGCAAGTAGCTCCAAACTCTTGATGATTATCCATTATTTTGAGAGATTATGTGAGAGAGGAATTGAGGAAATTAAAAGATTTGGCTATGTGACATTTATTAGAAAGAAAGTAGAGCCATATCAAGTCATTTGTCAAATTCAACAATCAACTGTTGAAATATCAAACAATCAAGTGATTGTTCTTCCAGAAGGATCAATTGAGGATTGTGAAAATGCCATTCACAGTGACTTTGCAAACAAGTACATTGGAGGAGGAGTTTTAAGAGGAGGAGCCGTTCAGGAGGAAATTAGATTTGCACTCAGTCCTGAATGTATCATCTCTAGGTTGATTGTTGAAAAGCTTTCGAATAATGAGTCATTATTAATTTGTGGAACAGAGCAGTTTAGTTCACATCAAGGATATGCCAAATCACTCCTCTATAAGGGAGACTTTATTGATGGAAATTATGAGAAGGAAAGCGAACATCTATTTTGCTTCAAATCACAAATTGTTGCATTCGATTCTAAATATTACTATACGAATGAAAAATTGAAACAGTGGAAGATTGATTGTATAGATAGAGAAATTATCAAGGCCTATTCTGCATTCTGTTCTATTAGAAAGAATTATGGATTGAATTTCTATTCGAATATTTCTACAGGTAACTGGGGAGGTGGAGCATTCAATAGTGATCACGAACTCAAGTTTATCATTCAATTAATTGTCACTTGCCATTGCGAAAAACCAATGTATTATTATACCTTCAAAAATACTGAACTGGCAAGAAAATTCAAAGACTTTTTGGAATTTTGTGAAAAGCATAATGTAACAGTTCAAAAAATTTACAATCTTCTAGAGAATATGTATTCAGAGTACATTGAACCAAACTCTCACGAAGAAACCTTCTCTCCTCACACATTAGAATATCTAATGGGCAAACTAACCTCAAAATAATTCAAGAAATAATTGAATCTTGTTTTTATCAATTAAATTGTTTAATTGTATTGATTCCATTAGAAATACGTAATGACCTTATTCACAATTTGCTGATAATTCAAATAAAAGTCTTTTAAGTTCATCACCCACTTCCTTGATTGAAGGTCTCATTTCTGGCTTTTCATCCCAACATTGAGCAGTCAATTTGAAATAGTCCAATACTATTTGACAAAGACTCATACTCACTGTGTACGGTTGTAAAGGATAGAGTTGTAACCATTCTCTAACTTGATCTGCGTTTTTGAATGGAATGAGAGGTCTGTTTCCTCTAGCAACATGAGCTAGGACATTAATCATGTTTTGGTCATCCGTAAGATTGCTACCAATTTTTGAAGATTGTGAATAGGGAGATAATTCAAAGAATAGCTCGTGCATCATTATTCCAAAGCTGTAGACATCTCCCTTGGTAGCTTTCAGTATCTTGTCCTGTGAATTTCCAATATCACTCGTCGAAGAGGTCCAACTCTCTGGACTTGAATAAAGTAATGTACCTATTCCTCTGGTCATTGAATTGTTAGTGTTTAAATTACCAACAGCTCTACTCAATCCAAAATCACAAATCTTACATCTATAATCTGAATCAAAAAGGACATTGCCTGGTTTCAAATCTCTGTGAACTATTGGTGGTTCAAGAGAGTGTAAATATTCCAATCCAGAGCAAATATCTTGCAAGATGATTAGCTTTTGCTTTAATGTGAGAGATGCCTTTCCAATTCTTAATTTATAAATCATTCTTTCCAGTGAACCATTCTCCAAATATTCAGTAATCATGTATTTGCTATCCTCTGTCAATGCAATTCCAAAAAACTTTAAAATATTTTGATGTCTAAGACTGTATAAAATTGAGACTTCCTTCTCAAACTCGTCATCTGTATCATTAACATCATTTCCATCACTCATTAGTTTTTTCAAAGATTTCACAGCAACCTTTGTCTTTCCATACAAGAGGGCAACATAAACTACACCTTGTCCACCTTCAGCAACCTTTGAGATGATTTCTATGGCTTCGATAGGAATAAGGAAATCTCGTACTCGTCTGCTGATTTTCAGTTCAACTTCATTTGAAGCCAACAATGGTGCAGAAAGAGTATCAAAATAATTGGTGTCATTAGATTTGGATGGCTCATAATCACTTCCAAAAACAATTCTCTTGTCAATAATTCTTTGAGCTACTGCCTTTTCTGCTTTTTCTTTGCTTGACAAAATTCTCAATCGTCTCACAATTTTCATAAACATAAAAAGAACAAAAATTCCAGAAAAAGTTCCCATAATAAAGAATGCAAAACCTGCTGGAACAGTAATAGCAACAATTTCCTTCCAAGTTAGGGCATTACCAGATACACACATATAGGCAGCAACTCCAAAATTGTTACTGAACTTGTACTCGTATCCATCTGGACAAGGAAGAATGGTAAACTCTGAAAACCATCCACTTTCATAGGTTTGTTCCACTTTAACTGTGGTATTCAAAGCTATTCCAGCATACTCTGGCAGTGTACCATTTAAAATTAAAAGGGTAATATTTAAACCCTCAGCCAATTCCTTAACATGGAAATAAAGATCTGGATACTCTGCAGAAGCAACAACGAAACGATCTACATTGCAAGGCACCTGTACATTATTTGTAAAAGTGGTCATTGGTATGAAAATTGTTTGTCCTGGATAGATGGAAAGGTAAGTTTCTTCCTTCATCATTTCATTGACTGATGCGAAAAAGTCATTACCATAAACTGCAGCACTGTTTTGATCAAATATCACATTACTGAACTTGGGCTGTGTCATATTGAGTTGTGCAAAATGGAAAATTGCCCCTCCTGTATTCGTAGCTCTATTCTTTCTGAATAAACAATTTGAGACAGTATCAACTCCAACACCAGTGAAAAATAAGGCACCTCCTGCATATGCTTCATTTTCAATGAAAGTTGCACCATTAATATTAAGTGGTTGAGGTGATCGAGAGATAGAAATTGCGCCACCAGAACCTCGATAAAAAAGCTCATTGTCAGGTGTTTCTTCTCCAAATAAGGCCCTATTTCTTTCAAATATTGTTCCATTAAGAGTAATCACATTTGCCAACAAAAAATTGAGAGCACCACCAGCATAATAAGCCACATTATTTCTAAAGATACAATTCATGAAGTTTGCTTGAATTGAGTATAAGATTCTAAAAGCACCACCATAATCTGGTGATTCATTATTTTCGAATAAAGAGTTGGAAACAAAGATTAAATATCTATACAAGTCAGAAGATGGCATTGTGTCAATTACCAAAGCACTGCCTCTTCCATTCAAGAACTTGGATCCTTCAACACGTATTTCTATTACATCTTGTACATAAGCATGTGCTCCTTTCTCTCCAAAATTATTGTCAAATGTTGAATTTTGAATGGAAAGAATTAAACTACTTTTAAAATTTACAGGAGAATTGTAAGACTGATACAGTTGGAACCGTTTTGAATTATTTAGTGTTGGTATATCATTCTCAATGAAGGTAGAATTAATAATTGATATAAGAGTCTGAGCCTTAACATCCAAGACAACAATATTTCCTTTCACATAGTTATTGAAAAATTGGAAAGTTTGCCCTTTAGTGACATCAAACATGACACTCTGAACTGATTGATCTTCAAAACGGCAATCTTCAACATGAATAATTCCACTACCTGTAATAAAGAAAATGATTGAATGACGTTTGAAATTGGATCTATAAAGCAAGAATTGTTGCACATTCAAAAAGTCAGTTTTCAAAATACCACTCACTTCCAAAACAGCCATCTGAATATCTGCTGCTGCATACAGACTAATAGTATTGTAGTATGTGAATTTGGAAAAGGAAAATACTGCAAGATCTGATTTTCTGTAAGCAAATGCTGACTGCTCAAGATCACAATATTCCACAATTAGATGTTTTGGGTTTTGTATATCCACGTTGACAACAAAAAGTACAAAACTTGAGCTATGATGAATTCCAAAATTGAGAAAGTAATCATTTCTAAAATAGACAAATCGTAAATTAAGGTTTGAAACCAAGATCATTAAAATGTCTCTTCTAGTACTATCGAATAAAAGTCCCTGTTTCTCACCACATGAAATTGTCCTCCTCTCTAAATTACTAAAACTACTAAATCTAAACATGAACATGACATTCATAATTGGCAATCGAAGGAATGAGTTTTTTGGAGAATCACATTCCAACTGCAGCATGTCATCCATGAAAACTACATTAACAATGATAAATCTCTTCATTGAGAACAAGTAGAGAAAGTATTCATTCGACTTGACAAACACTCTCTTATCAATTCCTTTCATTAAATCAGCAATGCTTGCACAAGGAAATTCCATTGTACAATTTGGTTGATCGGCACTACCACCCCCATTCGCTGACATGTAGAAGGTATAATTCAAATAAATAGTCGTCTTGATATATTCTGTCCACAATTCTTCTGATGCCAGATAATTACTTTCATCATTAGAACCTTCCAAAGATCTTCTTCTGCCATGATCATGTGCCAACTGTTCATAACGTTTCTTTAAGTTATCTACAAGGGTACTATTTACATAATGTTGTTCTTCTTGATAATATTCAAAAGTAGAAGGAAATTGTGAATCCGCTACAGCAGCTTCTCTATGTGCATCACTAAATTCTCGATAAATATCTGGTATTAGTATTTTACTGTTAATGGGTGTTTGGTGATGAGGATTAAAACCAGAAGAAGGTGATACAGTTGATAATATTGATGATGAAACAAATGATGATTTCCAATAAAAGTAGAAGCAACACAATAAAATCGTGGTGAATAGGACCTTGTTGTGGTGTTTCATCTGTTTTCCACTCTTGCTGTTTTTTTTGTGCTCCGTGTGGTTATGACCTAGTAGTTTTTTTAAATTAAAGATAAGTGCAACACTCTATTTCTAGAGTTGAGCAACCGGTAGTACGTTACATAATAAGCACCGCGTTTCATTTTGCTTTTTGTAATAAAAGTTGTAAAGTTATGACGTTGGATAGCTTTATCGAAAAAAATACCATCACCAACTGACAAACCAACGACCAAAAATTATTACCTCCCAACAATAATTAGTAACATCACATCCTACCTCGTCTCTTAGGTTGAGTTCTTTTATAAGAAAGTTCTTTTCATGTAGAGGTGTTTTATAATTATTCCAAAATTGAAGTAATTGTTTTACTACGAGGTAAACTCACAACAAATTCTCAAGGAGATGATGTTGTGTTTTGGGATGTAATGTTTCTTATTATGTCAGAAAACATCTAGTAAGGAATGATTTATTTAGAAGAAGAACCTATGATTTTCAACAATAATTTAGAGAGATCAAACAAAAAATGATTTAATACTGCAACATACAAACACACCACTTCAACACCAACAGCAAGTAATCGTCTATGGAAAACTTCATCAAAGAGGGTCTCCTTTTTTTCATCACTAAATTCTATTGATGAATCATCATGACTATTTTCAAGTATATCGGAGGATTGTGAAATAACAACCAACAGCAGGCTTTTACGATGATTCCGCACGCATTTGAATGAAGTATTAGTTTAGATCAACTGGTACTGAAAAGGAGAAAAAGTATGCTGCTTGTTTGGCTCCTACCTCATCACTTGCTGTTGCTTTTTGTTATTTACTCCTGAATACGTTGCTATCTTGTTGGGTATTATATATGATTGTGATGTGTTTAATTAATAAGTTGGAGTGGGAGCAGCAACAGGGTAATAAATGTAAGTACCTACGATTTATTTGAAATTTTACCTTAATTCCATTTCATAATTGACACCATGGAACATTTAAGGTGAAATCTTCACCAAAATAATAATTTGAAATAATCAGTTTTGGAAAATGATGTCAGAGAATTTGATGTTTATGAGTGTAATCTCTTCACATTTCAATTTGGTTGGTGCTATACATTCTATCAAGACTTAAAGTCCTGCCATTAATTAGAAACTGTGATGCAAGAAATAGTAACTGTTGTTGATGGAACTGTTTTAGAAGATTTAGCAAGTATTAAGGTTGTCTACACAACAGCAACTGTTGCCATCTAAATCCTTACAACTCTGAAGGTGAATTCATTTTGAAATATGATCCTCCAAGGGAAACTATGTTCATTCTCACTGATTAAAAGCTGATTTTACCGTTTGATTTGAGTGTAGACATTTACAATAGATGGTTCTCTTACACATACAGAGGAGAAAGAGGCAATAGAAAGCAATTGATTTATCAAAAAGATTTACACTTTCCAACATTTGCTATCAACAATTTGGACTCTGTTTGCACTGATGATGTTCTTTCAACTCTTGAGTTTTTACTCAAGTCAAATTGTCTACTCAGTGGAAGGTATGGATGAGTTTATCTATATAGTAGATACTCATAACTTTAGAATTAGAAAGCTATCAATTACCAATAAGACTATCATTACTTATTGGTGGACAAGAAGGAACTTTGGAAATGGTATCAATATTACTGATACTCTTCTTACTCAACCAACAGGACTTGCTTTTTTCAGAATTCTGAACATGCTTCAATTAACACCATTCCAGATACATTGCCTACAAGTTTTACATCAAGATTGTCAATGGTCTTGCAATAATTGCAACTCCTGTTCCTACTTCAATGCAACTATTGCCCCAACAAGTATTGCAGTTGGTGAGGATGGAGAAGTAACACACACCCTCAAAATGTTAACAAGTGCAACCTGTACAATTTCTGTCATGGCTAATACTGGATAATATTGGTCAAAGACAGTGTTTTTGAGAATTGTGAATAGTGTTTCAGTAATCGTTTGGATTATAATTTCAATGCTCTTGTCGATGGTAGGGAAATGAGTAGAGATATCAAAAAGGTTGCATATGATTTTGCCTTCTTTACTATTGATGTTTCACAAGTTTGCCAAGGAATTGTAGAAAGATTCAAGTTAGGTTATTCCCCACCAAAATATTCGTAAAAAAATTGAGAAAATGGCTCTTTGCCACCTTGCTGATTTTCGAAGTGGTTTCTCAGCAAGAAAGTACCAAACTTTCACATCATCTAGACATCAATTTAGTAGTAATAATAGTAATTTTTATTGGAGTATTTTCATCATTATTTTGGAATTTATTTTTCGTGATGAAAAATCACAAGTTGATGAATCATCATCAGAACATTTCACCAACCAACATTATTGTTGTTTTCCATATCAATATAATAATTTTATTTGTGGAAATTAATATATTAAATTAGGACAAGTCAAATTTTCACCGTTGGATTTAATGGAAAAGTTGGAAAACTGTCAATGTGGCATTGTTGTGGAAATGGACAATAGTATGATATAAAACTTTGTTTGACGGAATTTCATTCTACCAGTGTTGATTCTGCCCAACAACAAAATATTAAACAATAAAACAATTACCAATACTATTGTTTAATTGTTTCAATCAGCAGATGTTTTATTGTTTGATGGTAAGAACAATTTACATGCTGTTGAATCACCTCATGGTAAAGATGATCTTAGATATTCCGTTGTATTCTTTACTCATAGAGCAGACTTGGGGTAAAACCATGATATAGAGGAGAGAAAAGTATTAAGAATAAAATCATTAAATTTTAAATAATTTTTATAAATAATTTAATTGTATTAAAAAAATGTCTCCACACTTTAACCTCGAATTTTATTCGAGAAGCACAACAGTAATAGATGAAAGCACTCTCGGTGGGCTTGATTTGATAATAACACACTTATACATCCTCTTGTAGGAGTATAATTAGTGTTGTTGTTGTGAGTTGATGACGTTATTTTAATTCCTTTTCCTTCTGTCCAAAGTTTTTCTGTTTACTCTGTTCTTCCGTACATCATATTAATCAACAGGAAAGATCATTCAACTACTATGCATTGACAATTTATTCTTTTCATTATCTTGAATGTTTGATAATTGATGGCAATGTTCATATAATCAATCTCTCACCCAAGAAGAATATATCTAATGATCAGGCTGTTGATTTTCAACAACATCAGGTATTCGGAGCTATTGTAAAGTAATTGTTTTACTTTGATGATTCAGATGGTTTTCAACGACTAACATAATTCTTATCCATCTTGCAAAAAAAGAGGATGCCATGACAGCAATCAACTTATATCAATATTGAAAAATCATTAGGAAATTATTCAGAAGTTAACATGCATTGTAATTGTTGGGTTCAAAATATTTCTCAACATTAAATTCTTTCTCCACAATCAAACCCACCCTATTCAATGTTGAAAGAATGCACATTTAGAAATCAGTGATGTTTCACATTGAATGTGATAGATCTTTTTCTGGCTACTTGTATTGGTTGCTCCAGTAATTGCATATGTGGAGGCTTTTTTAATATTTCCAATAACCAAACAAAAGATGCTGCTGGTGATTCCACTCTCAATACCAAACCTTAACCAAAACCCTATCAAAAAGAATTCATCTATACAAGTAGCATGAGTCATATATCTGTTGTTTTTGTCCACTTTTAATAATAATATGTTGTATGCTTTTGTTCAGGCTGTAATGTTTCGAGTGCAATTCAACACCAGTGTTTTCATTCCAATCATGATTGAATCATATCTCCAAAGAGGACACTGGGTATTATTACTATGTAGAGTTGGCTACTAGTAGTGAAATCTACTTGTTCGATCCAATACGAGATGCCAAGTTCACTAGTGCTGAGCTGGCTAATGATATTTCAGATATACTTTTTGTTTGTTGTCACACTACCACCCTATTATTCAACTTCTAGGTTTACGTTTCAAGAATCATGGGCTTATTTGGTTTAAGATGTTATGTTTCAGTATTCACGTAAATATGATGCAAGGAGGACATTTGTAACTCTTATTGCTGCTGAGTGCAAAATTGTAGTCCAAAGCTTCTGCGGGTAATCTTTGTGGGGTAATAGTAACATTACCTTAGGTGTTGTAGTGTATACTACTTCATCAACTGTTCCAATTACTCAAACAAAGACAATTTCAATCAACATTCACTATATCAGTGCTTAATTATTCCAAGTTGTACTAAAACAACATCACTAACAAGGTGCTAAACAACTATGCTTTCCATTTCAACGCAGAGGCATATGTCTTGCGTTTGGGGCAGAGATTTAGTGCTTGAATAGTGGTTAAACAACAATGGATGGGCATTTTGGCAACTGGTTTTCAGTTTTGTATTAATATTAATAACTTCACATTCATGTTGATTGGCTTAACAAACACTTTGGCTGATTGAACAAAAGAAAAGAGCTACTTCAAACATTTTAAAAAAAACATCAGAGTTTGTTTAATGGACTACTATATGTACCATTGAAGATGAAGACATTCTTCCCAATGACAATAGATGTTTGGTATCCTCATTGGTTCACATCGAGAAAACAAACAATTACAAGTTTGTCAATCCTTTTAATGGTTAGAATGGAAGAAAACTGGATATCAAGAGCCATTGTTAATATTTAAGAATTTAAATAAGGTTTGGATAAAAGATATTTTAGGAAGAATATCAGAACATTTACATATTCATCAACATGCAGATATTGTGTTCGATGAAGTAGAAGAATCATTCATAACAACGTCAAACATTGGATCTGAATCTAAAAATTCTTTAAGAAGGAAGTGTCATGTTTCATTTGGATTTAATGGTGGCTTAAGACATCCTTATGATTCTTTGCTTTATGACAGCAAAAGAATTCTTAATGAATTGAAGATCCTTGCTGAGACTTCTAATATTATTACAAGTTCCCTATTACAACCTCCACTTCCAGATAATTTTAATTCACTTGCATTACACAATCAACACTCCTCACCTCCTATATATATTCATCCTCTTCAACTCAACCTCCACTAACAAATAATTTAACAATTCAATCCTTCCCAAAATTCCAATAACCAACCAACATCTCCATTTTCATTCTTTTCATCCTCCAATCCATCACCAAACTCCTTTTTATACAATAAAAGGAATAATTTAAATTATAATAATTGTTTAATATTTATTCCATTTAACAGATTCATCAAGCATAGAGCAGAAATAATCAAATTCAATTCTAATCATCTTCTCTTCAGGTTTGTAAATTAATTTAAATTGATTAATTCCAAATTTCCATAAAATACCATCATGCTTCCATTTAAATGCATACCACTTATCACTAAACAAAGGAGGAAGGCTATAATTTCCAGCAAACAACCAATGATATGTTATCTTTGGAACTATTCTTCCTTCCCTTGCAATGCCACCCTCAATCAACATCTCTTCTTTTAAAATGCTATATGGTTTCGCCTTTTGTATTTGATAATCAAAGAATAGCTTTGCTTCGTGATCATCTGTTACAGAAACATAATGTTGATGATGCCACTTGACATTATGGGTTGTATCTGGCTGAGCATTTCTAATAACTACCTCCTCAATAGTTCTCGGAAGTACCTTTAGGTATCTTGTTGCATAATATTCATCAGAATATTTTTCATCCATTATCTCACGCAGTGTTATTGTTGGTAGGGAAGTATCAAAAAAGTATTCAAGTTGTTGTCTTTTCTCTAATGGTATGTTCACTTTCTTACTCTCTTCACTGCCTTCAAGAATGTTTGTTACTTGGCGTTTAGCTGTTTTCAAATCATCAACCTTCTCTACAACAAAACGTATTTTGTTTGTATTGTTATTCTTCTCCAACGATTTATTCATAGCTACCCTCTTACTTTTGCTCAACCTGTATACTTCAAACGTTACTTCTGTTTTGTTGGTGACCATAGAAAATACTTGTTTGTTTTGTTTTGATTTTGTTGTTGCTCATGTTGTTGTTGTTGATATGTGGTGTTGTTGATGTTATTGTATTTTTTTTAACGTGAGTTTACAAATTGAAAAACAAGCAAGAATGAAACGCGGTGAAAAATAACATCGCATGATTATGAGGTTATATGACCGTTGATATTAAGAAGGTTAATTAATTGGAAGTGGCGTTAGTTGGTTGGTCCTTAATCGATGTGAAGCAACCCGAACAAAAATCGAACAAAAGCAAGGACAATATTACTGACAATTACAATGTATTGAGTGTTAGTTCTTCATTCCTGTCCAGTACATATAGAGAATCTAAGCAGTGATTTCTATCCAGTACATATAGAGGATGATGAAATCACTTGTATGAGTTTAAGAAGGTTACTCATCAATAGGGCACTCAAGAGAGGAAACTCACAAAATGAGTATTTACAGTTTTTCAAATTTCTAATGATTAAAGGAACAACCAAATTTAAATCCTTAACAAAATGTCCATGTTTTTGATTGAAAACCATTCAATTGACTTGAACCATTCCACTTTCTTTCAAATTCACTAGCGTACAATTAAGCGCATAAACTTTGTTACCTCAAAACTTGACTCGGATTTCTTTTCTAAATTTAAATTTTAAAAAAAAAGCAAAAACATCTTCGAATCTTACCGACGACGAATTTTTGTTTTTCAAATTTAATCAAATAACAGTATATTATTATTAATTGAAGGTTAAACAATGAGTCAAACATTCCGAGTCGAGTTGTATGTCTATGATCTTTCCATGGGTCTTGCAGCAACATTTTCTCAACAATTTACTGGTAAACATTTTCCAGGTATTTGGCATACAAGTATTGTCGTGTATGGTAGCGAGTACTTCTTCGGAGGAGGTGTTCAAGTGATGCAACCTCTTACTACTCCGTATGGACAACCTGTGAGAAGAATTCATTTGGGTGATACTCAAATTCAAAAACCACTTTTTGAAGAATATGTTCAAGCTATCGGATCAGAGAGATTTAGAATGGATCAATATAATTTATTTGAAAATAATTGTAATAATTTCTCCAATGAATGCTCAAACTTCCTTTTGGGCAAGAATATTCCAGATGATATTTTAGGATTGCCAAGAGAATTCTTTGAAACACCTTTGGGACAAATGGTTAGACCAATGATTGATAACATGATGGGTGGTTCATCCAGCCCTCAACAACAACAAGGAGGTTTACCTGGTGGTTTGGGAAATATGGGAAATATGGGCAATATGATGGATCCACAATTTTTATCTCAAATGATGAATAATCCAATGGTGTCACAAATGATGAATCAATTCATGGGAGGAATGAATACTGGAAATTATAATCCTTATGGTGGTTCTAATTCTACTCCACAAGCAACTCCACCACCTATTGATACCTATAATGATCCAGCTGAAATTTACAAATATAACAAATCCAATGTGCCACAAGTTGTTGCCAAGTTAAAGACAACACAGGCCAGTCTTTTGGATGAATTGAAGGGAGATATTAGAGTTTTGAACCAATTGGAACAATACTTGCAATTACCACAACAAGATGATACCAAGAGCACACTTGTAAATAATGAAACATTTGAATTGTTGAAGAAATTAATTGGAGGAGCTAAGGAAAATGAAGTCTTCCCAATTTTGGATTTGGTCAGATTGTTGGTATTGACAAGCAAGTTTTCCAAGGCCATTACTATTGGTGAACACAAGGCATTGATGGATATTATTGAGGAGAGATTTGTTTCTAAATGGTCTTCCTGTTCAATGCCAACCCAATTGATGGTTCTCAGATTGTATTGTAACATTTTTGACAAGTACTATAGTGCACAATCATTAACACCAGACACTGTAAAATATATTACCAAGGATTCAACAAGATTAGCCAAAGTTGTTGATATCATTTCGACATCGTTGGGCTCAGAATTGGAAGGTGTCAGATTAACTGCTGCCAGTTTATCATGCAATCTCACTCTCTATTTATCTCACCAAAACTCAGATGAAGAAATTCAATTACTCTCCTCCATGTTGGAATACATTACAGCAGAGAAGAGTAAGGATGTCGCCCACAAGATGCTTCTGAGCATGTACAGAATTGCCAAATCATCAACATCTGGCTCCTCTGAAATTAAGGAAATTGCCCAAGCTCTCATCTCTGATGCCAAGACATTTACTTCTGGACCAGGTATGCAAGCTCTGCAATCCAGTGATCCAAAATTGATTACAGAAGTCAAGAAACTCTTAGGTTTATAAATTGTACAGTTTTAACATCTACAAATACACCTGTAATATGTAATACGGAGAATATCAAAGTTGCAGAGTTGCACTTCAGCTCTCATTCTTTCCTTTTTAGATGGTTGTGAAAATATCAATGAAAAATCTATTGCATTACAACATGCTTAACACATAATATCAATCAAATACCCAACATTTAAATATTGCACGCCTTCATCAATTATCTCTGAACTATTCACTCTTCCATATTTAGCAACTCATTTAGCTTACAACACAACCGTAAACCACTTTCAAGGTCGCATCTTTATCTGGTACCCACTTCGATAGCATCGTTTTCTCACAGTAAACTCGAAAGATGCAACAAAAACCCAACTCGAATTTTTCACACAACAAAAAAGAAACAACACAAAATGCATTCCTTCACCATTAACATGAAACTCTCCATTCTATTGGCCATTACATTGCTCATCACCACTACCTTCATCACTGCCCAACTCCCATTCTCATTCCTTGAAGTGTGTCCACACGAAACCAAGGACAATTTCATTCCAATTCTCGACACACCATGCTCCCAAGATTTTCACATTTCCGTAGCTCCTCTCACTCGTGTCAATGTAACCAGCTTACCAATCAAAGGTTCCTGTGGAGAGAGTTATTATCATGTCGATGCATTCGGTGTCAGTGGATATTTATCTGTCAAATATGCCTGTAATGCATATGACAGAATTTATAGAAGTGGAGATGTTGTAAAATCATGTAATAATGGTGGAGCTAGTTTGTTTTCAAGTGCTGCAGTGCAAGTTTCTCAAGGTTTGTTGAGTGCTGGACAAGTTGCTTTGGTTTTGAGTGAACCAATTTATGTTTCGGCTAAGGATGATTATTCGTATAGAGTTTTGGTTGATCAAAAGGTGTACTATGTGATGAGGAATCAAGTTTGTGCCTTGTCTTTTGCTAATTAAGTACACAATTTTAATGAATTCATTGGACATTAATAAATTAATTTAAAAATTATTGGAAATTAAACTAAAGTTCGAATCAATTCATTTTTAATTTTTTAAAATTATTGGAAATTAAACTAATGTTTGCAAATACATGTAATGGAAACAAAGCTACATTAATCCATTGCTCCTTCAATAGACCCTCCTTTTTAAAATTTCCATTTTAGAGAAAATTGGAGGAAAATCAGTTGAATGTTAACGAAATGGTTCGAAAGAATCAGAAGAAAAAATTCACACAAGCATGTCCACCTCTTTCTTTCGTAAATCTTGGGATTTCTACTCACAAATGCTCATCAAGTATCCAATCACAACGAAAGGACTCACTTGTGGTGTTTGCATTACCACTTCCGATGCTTTCACTCAACATAAACAATTTATTTCGGATAGAGAGACGAAACAAGTCGATTCCCATACACATGAAATACTGCGTTCCATAAAATTATTTACCTATGGGACGATATTACTTGGTCCTTCTCTGCATTTTTGGTTTCGAGCTCTGGATAGAATGCTACCAAGAATTGTGATAAACTCAACAACGAATCATCAGACAATTACTTTGCCATTCAGAAAAATTCCCTTCCTAAACAAGTATATTGCATCTGAAACATTGAATGGTAATAGTGGAAACTCTAAAAAGTGGATGAAAGTCTTGCATTTGGATTGGATGAACAAATTTTCAAAAGATCACCTTAAATGGAGTGCCAAACGAGTTGTTCTGGAACAATTTACTTATTCAGTATTGGTTACGTTCATGTTCTTTGTTGCCACGAGTGCATTGGATTTATTATTTGATGATTTTGAGAAGGAACAAGAGGAGGGAAAGGCATTCCATCAAAAATTTGACAATTTTCCCAAAGAATTAAGGGAACGAATTGAGAATGAATTTAGAGATGTGCATCAGAATGGAATGAAATATGTTCCAGTTGCAAATTTTATTAATTTCTTGGGTAAGTGAATTATTGATTTGGAGGAAATTCTGAAAATTCTATGAAAATTGTAAAGTGGTTCCTCCATTGTATAGAGGATTATATTTCAATTTGGTTGGAGTGTTTTGGAATGTATCTCAGTGGGCTAAGGAACATTATAGAATTGCAATGAAGAGTTTCAATGGAGACACTATTGGAGAGGAAGCAGATAATTCTCTGTTGGTGGCAGATTTGAAACAACCACAAGATGAATCAAATTTAAAGAATGAAGATTAATATTCGATTCTTTAATGAATTAACAAATATATTTGACAAGGATTTATAAAGTATAATTCTTGAGAACTTCAAAACGCTTTTCAGCAGACAAAATAGTATCTTCCTTCTTACAGAAACAGAATCTAGCATATTCCTTAGCCAAGTGCTTGTCTTCAGGTCCATAGAAAGCAGATGGTGGAATAGCAGCCAATCTAACATCAGATTGGGGCAACCATTTACAGAATTGGACATCCTTAGTATCAGTATTATTTGGATCGTATGGGAATTTAACATTCGAAACATCAGTCATTAAGAAATAACCTCCTTCAGGTGTGAGTGGTTTGAGATTGTTGGCAATTAACATGTTTGAAAGCAAGTCACGTCTTTCTCTCAATCTATTTCTAACAACATTGAAATAATCATTATCAATGGCATGATTAATACATTCAGCTGTGGATCTTTGGAGTGGTGTTGAAATACAGAACTTGATATATTGGTTGACAAGGTAACAAGCATCCATGAGTTTTTTACTACCCAAAATCCAACCAATCTTCCAACCAGTAACTGAGAATGTCTTACCAACTGAACTAATGGTAAGAGTTCTATCAAACATTCCGTCAATATTAGAAATTCTTTCACAATATGGTCTGTTAAATGTCAAAAATTCATAAACTTCATCACTGAGAACATAGAGATTCTTATGTTGGAGAACAACTTGTGAGAGTTCTTCCAATTCCTTTCTATCAAAAACTTTACCAGTTGGATTGTGTGGAGTATTGAGAATGATAGCTCTTGTCTTCTTTGTAATCTTGGAACGTAATTCATCCAAATCCAATTTCCACTCTTGAGAACTTCTTTTTTCATCCGAATACTATTTATGTCATGATGATGATAATTATTACATGTTAAATATTATTAATGGTCAATTAAATTTCCACACTATTTCACCTACCTTTTCTGGAGCTCTCAATGGAATATAAACTGGTTTAGCACCAGCCAATTCAACAGCAGACTTGACAAATTCAAGTCACAATCATGTAAAACACAAAAAACTCACCTTGTAAGCATCATAGAATGGTTCAATAATAATAACCTCATCTCCTGGATTTGTAATTGACATGATTGCAATATAAAGAGCATCGGAAGCACCATTTGTAACCAAAATTTCATCAGGACTATACTTTCCATATTCAAATCCAGACAATGATCTATCATTGTACAATCTTTGCAAAGCATTAATCAACACTGGATCACCATGAGCTTTGGCATATTGATGACAAGGTTGAGAAGCTTGATTAGCAAAAGCTTGTGTAACAAAATCATCAACTGGCCAATCAGGAAAACCTTGAGCCAAATTAATACTTTGTGTTTGAATAGCTAGTGGAGTGTATGTTGACCAGATGGATTCTTCCAAGGCTGTGGCTCTTTTGGAAATTTTAGCCTTTGCTGATGTTTTGTTGAGACATGATGAAAAACATCTCAGGCCTCCTTCTCCTCCGATGATGATTTGATCGAGATGATGAGAGGCAAATTGTTTTTTTAAAATTTGATGAAAAATTCCCTTTCCAGCTTGTTGCATTTTTTTTTAATTGTTGTGAAATTTTAATTTTTTTATTTTGAATGGAAATTGTTTGTGGAATTTTCATGATTTTCAAAGATTCTCAGTGGATGCATTACAATGATAATGCAAATTGTTTAATGTTATGAATTGTTTAAAAGAACTCGTTTCATGTGAAAAATGTACAAATATATTTACAAAATTGATTGTAATGAGAATATCACTTATAATTTAACAAGTATTGTAATACTTGTGAATGGCTTGAGCGCCTTCTTCTTCATAAACTCGTCTTGTCATGGCAAAATTATGTGAAAATTGACTTGAATCTTGATCCATATTAAGAAAATCATTAAAGCTTGATAAAATCGATGATCCAATCCATGCACTATTCTCCAAATCACAAGTCGAAGCACAAGTTGATGAAGAATCAGGTGAAAATACTTTGACTTTGGTTTGAGAAACTGAAATTCTCTTTCTAAGAGCTAACTCTCTCTTGACATCTCTCAATAAACGATTCTCCAGACCTTTCATCAAACTGGTTCCACCAAATACATGAATATTTCCCAATAATGTTTCTTGAATAGGTATGTAATCTTCTTCATTCTTATCTGGAGAGGAGAAATTAGATATGGATTCATGAATCATTTCATGCATGCCTTTGGTTATCATTTCCTTAGAACTGTTTGTTAAAGTGAGTCTCCTCTTGATTGAACTGGATCTGCCTCTCCTTGTCATTGGAGCACAGGTTGTACTCGAGGAGTGAACATTTGATAAATTGTACAGAGATGGTTGGAAGAACATTTCACAACAGACAAATTTTTCCTTTCCAATCCAAATTGTTTTTCCATCAGGAAGTTGAAAGGCATCATCTTCCAATAATTGACCTCTGGGAGAGATAGCTGCTTGGTCATCGTATGGTGACGGATATTTAGCAACTTCCTTTGAAAAATCAGTGGCCAAGTAACATGAACGTTTCTTCAATCCTTCAATGAATTCTCTTTCAGCACTTGTGCTAATTCTTAAATTATTGTTGAGAGGATTGTCTTGAATGAGTTTGGAGAAGTGTTCTGATAGTTCCCTGCCTCCTATATTAATATTGAAATAGGTCTTTTCTGATGGAGAAAGAGTCAGAGAGGTAGGATAACTATTCGATTGATTTTCTTGAAAATATGCAATACCATCCAACACAGAAATACCACTCGTCAATGAATGACCCATATCCACACAAAATCCACTTGTTTTTCCTTTCGAATACAGAGACATGACTTGAGGAATGGCCATATACAAAAATGGAATTTCAAATTTCTCAAACATTAATTGAGTCAAATCTTCTCTATACTTTTCTACAGCTCCAATAGATTCCAAAGAATGATAAATGGATATATTCTCATTCATGACCACCCCATTTTCTCTCAAATTCACTCTCATCTTATCTTTAAAAAGGTGATTCCAAAAGTTTTCCATCTCTTCAATTGAAATTACAACTCCCTTCTCAATTGGACAAATGAATTGATAATTTGGTGAAGGGTTGGTTTCAGATCTACGTTTCTGAGAGGTGCTACTAGCTTCTCTCTGAGCATGGAGTGCATCTTCTCCATAGGTATTGTAATGTGCATATTTCTGATGTTTACCAATGATGGTTGGTATAATAAATTGTGGAAAATCAGTTCCTGATAAACCAATTTTAATATTTTCTGTTCCATTGTCCAATACTATGCAACCATGATTAGTGACTGGATGTTTGTTGACTCTTCTAGGTGAGGTTTTTGGTGGAAGAGTAGGAATTGTTTTATTCTGTTGTCGAACAGTTTCGGATTGTATTTCTTGTTGATACCACGAGAGAGTGTGATAGTCTGGCGTTGATGCTTTGTGTTGTGATGAAAAGTTATCAGGCAAAGCAGATGGAAAGTGAAGAGACATTTTTTTCTTGACTATTCGATGGTGTAACTGGATTAGTCTGAAAGTTGATGAAAATTGACCAATAATAGAACAAATATGGTTTTTTGAAATCTTCTCTCAAAAGTTTGCCTCAATTTCTCTATCTTCTTTTCTTAGAAGAGGAAAAACCAGATCTTCCATAATTCTTTCTCTTTCCTCTCATTAACTCCTCCTGATAGTTATCAACAGGATCGTATGAAACAAACTCTCCAGACTCATCATCCATTTCACCACCTTCATTGGAAGGTATTTTTCCATGAATATGCCCTTCCATTCTCTTTTTAAGAGAGCTTCTTGATAGATAATGTAGGAGGTTTTTGGAATGTTCAGTACATTAAGATAGACAAAGAGCTTTTTAACATGTTGATATGAATCAATGATGAATGGGTGAAAACTGGACAGTTACAGCTAGGGGTTGTACCAATATTTACCATGTACTTATCTGTTGTCTCTTGATTAATTTCATACTGAGAAGTTAATTATCATCAAATTGTATTCCAAGTATAAATTACTTACCCATGAAGTCTTGATAACCTAATGTGCACTTCTGGAGGCATCACTCTCACAATGGGATACTTTCTAGATTCATAACCCTCATCTTCTGTGTCATCCTGTTGTGGTTCTGGCACTGGCTTCGGAACAACAATAGCTTCCTTCTTTTTTACACTCAACCTGCCAATAATAATTTACAACATTGCTCCTTTGTCATGACCGTGGTGGCCTGTTTGTCCAATTTGCTGGCAAGTGAAAGAAGTTTTTCCTCTGGAATGTGTTCAATAAGAAGTGTTTCAAGAAGGGCAAGTTTTGAAGCCATTTTTTGAATTTCAAAATTTTCAATCATACCTGCAACGGTTATCTTTCCAAAATTTGGCGGTCAAGACCTAAAAATCGTTTCTTGGCTCACTCCAATTTTTTCTTCTTCTTTTCCGATTGTTTTGGTGTATTGTCATCTTCACTGAGATTTAACATGTTGAAAGACTCATCGTTTGATGATGAGTTGAGTCTCTTCTTTTGTGATGATGGTGGCTGAGGAGTGAAGGGACTCATCAGCGAGAAGGTTATTGGATGAGAAGTGGTTGGTGTGACGAGCTCGTCCTGTTGAGAGTTGAATTCTTCGAAGAGTTTTTCTGCATCCAGATCTTCCTCTGGTATGGCTGTGTATGGTTCTGTTTCAAGAGAAGAGAATAATTCTTCGTCATCTCTCTGTGAACTGCTTCTCCTCTTTTCAATGAGGGTCTCAAGAAAGTTGTCCTTAATGACAACATGTTCCTCCTTGAAAAGGGTTTCAGTGTCTGAAAAGAATCCATAATCTTTGGAATCATCTTCAACCTTAGTGGAAGAGGTTCCTTTACGAATGTCATCGAGAAGATTCTTATTGTTTTTAGAGGATGTTTGGTGAGGATTGAGAGAAATGATGGAAGGATACTCCTTCACATTCGATCCAAATACTTGTTCTAAGAATTTGAGAATTTCCTTGTGAGATGAATGGAATGAATACAATATTTTAAAAATACCATCCTGGAAATAAGTGCTAGATCCTCTATCAAAACTAGAGGACATTCCACGAGTATCCTTATTCAAATATTTGAGAAACATTGTAGAGATACATATCAAAAGTGGGCAGTCATCTTCCTTTTTCAGTAATTCAGCTAGTGATTTGATGGTGGTTTTGGAAACAACTCTAATGAAAGTTTTCTCCTTATCTCGTGTGAAAATATTTTCTTTGAGTGATTTCATACAATCAATTTCCTTTCTTCTTTTAGGATTCAAATTCTCATAATCACAAAATAATTTAGTCTTGAAATGGCTTACTAATTCGAATAAAACTCTTTCCGTTCCCAATAAATCAAGTGCAATATAAACAGCTCTTTGTTTTGCTCTTTCCTTTTCTATTAATTTGATAAGCTCCTTGATACTATCAGATCGCTTTGGTAAATTAAGGAAATTAGAAGGGTCACAAAAAGTGTCATCAATATAAACCTTTGAAATTTTCTTTGATTTCAAATATTGTATAGTGTCTGATGGTGGATCCCTAAAGTCACCACAATACAATATACTTTCCACTTCATTTGGAGAACCTGGCTTGGCAATTTCAAATAGAAACATACAGGAACCAGGGCAATGATTAGAGCTTAATAATGTGCACATGAAATGTTTTGGTTCCTTAGAAGATGCACCTCTCACAGTCAATAAAGTAGGTTGCAATAAATCGATAGCCAATATTCTATCCTTATCTAATTTTGGATAAAGTGCAAGAAGCAAATTTCTAGTTATCGGATGACAAACAATGCATGTCTCATCACTTGCCGATGCATTCTGAAAGAATCTATCATCAAGCCCTTTAAAGTGATCACTATGACAATGGCTCAAAAAGTAATATTGATAATATTTAAATTGATGTTGCTGCAATTGATTGTTCATGTGATTTTCTTTTTGTTTTGGTGATGATGAAAGCAATTTACTCTGTTCAAAATTATCGATCGCAACCACATAATGTGGCAATAAATTGGAAATATCAGAAACGCCTGTAAAGTCAAAACATGATTTTCTAAAACAAATGTGTTCTTGTTGGTTCCGAACATTATGAACCTACCTTTTAAGCATTTTTTTTGTTTTTGAAAAATTCCAATTTTTGGTCGATTGTTTTTGGCGCCAAATTATTTGCTTTTTCCCCACAGTAGTTCATTTTTTATTTGATGTTGCACTCATTATATTAGTGATATGCTATTATCAATTGAAACTATCTTTATCAAGTGCAATTTCCAATCTCTCGTTAAGTTCGAATCTATTACATTCGTTTGTCAACTTTACCATTTCCTTACAAAAAAAAATGCTCAACATGGCCTCTGACAGCAATCACACCCACTCGTGCAGCTCATCAGGCTCCACAACAAAGAATACAAAAAGAAGAAAAATATTTATCAACATGGATAATTGTTTATATAGGCTGGATCAGGTGCTTTATGAAAGATATTGCGAAAAATTCGGAAAGAAAATTCCATCACCACTTGAAATGATGAGGAAGCCTGCTGGTTTTCATTTGGAAAAGGGTGATCAGTATAAATTGAGTCAAATTTTGATGGATCGGGACTTCTTTTCGAAGGAGGATTTGACAGTGGATAACACAAAGGGGATTTTGTTGGAAGTTTATCAGTATGAGGAAAAGTACAAGACCATTGATTTTAAATTATTCACAACTTTGAATCCTGTGAATAGTTCAGTGTATTTTAAGAGAATTCCACAGATTTCATTCTTTAATGATGAGGTTAGTGGAAATGATGATGGAAAGTACTCGCTCAGTATTGATAGGGATGAATGTATTAGAATAATGACCACAAAGATAAATTGGGTTTGTAAATTATTGGGTCATAAGAAGAATTGGTTGAATAAGATTATGTTTCTGGAGGAAGATTTAACCAATGAGACGAGTTCAGTTCTGAATTGTGCTGACTTGCTGATTTTGGGTTATCCACTTGTTTCAGAATTGAATGCTACAGATAAGAATCAGGAAATTATAATTATCAAGACAACTGACAATCAGGATTTATTCAAGACTGGGGAATGGAACAAACTAGTTGAGAGTTCAAGAAATACAGATAGAACCTTCTCTGTCATGAAGGGATGGAAGGATTGGAAGAAGAGCTGGAATTTGGAATTTTCATTGAATGATTTTCTTACCAAGTTTGAAGGAACAAGTACAGCTCAGGAAGTTATCAACTCTTCTGCTCAACCAACAGCTGTTGAGGTGCCATTTTACCATCATGGCTCAAAGGATTCCTCTGATGTTGACATCATTTATATTTTCAAGGATAAGTTACCTCCTGAAAATGATTGTAATTTGTTTATTAGAGCATCTGGAACTGAGGATAGAAATTTAGTTTTGATTCGATCAGAAGATTATAGCGAATTGAAAAGTGACACTGATAAGGGATATTTGGTTGATGTGTTTAAGGGATTGGTTGATGAGGCCAATAATGCTCTTTTCACAACTTATCCTCTCCATGAACAAAAGTATCCATGTCAAATCAGAGGACGTGTCAGAAGATTGGTTCCACTAAAGGTTTGCATGACACTTGTCAATTTAATTGGTAAGGTAAGAAGATGTAAGGAGGTGAGAAGCTTTTGCATCAAGGCACTCAATGTTCCTTCATTCAAATTGAAGCGATTATCCTTGGCTGAGATGGACTTTACAAAGCTCACCAGCAAACTGCATCCAGATGATTTAAAATTTATGGCTTTCAGATTGGGTCAAACACTTGCCCTAGTGTTATATGGTTGTGAATTATATTCCAAGAGTGAAATTAGTGAATTTTATCCAGAATTGAAGGCTCACTTGTACAGAGACGAGAATGTGAGCTATGCAGAAAAGTTGGAAATTTTGGAAAAGTACAAGAAGATTTTTGTGGAGAGCATTTCATGTGTTGACTCAGAGAGACAGTCCTTTGTAAATGTTCTCTATCTGAACAGAGAGGAATTGAAAAAGATTGATCGTGTGAATTACTTCCATTTGCAGGCCAATGGATTTGTTTGTGATTTGAAGGACAAGTTTTTAAAGTGCTTTGCATATCCATTTGATGATTTTGAAGTTTGGCAAAGACTGAAGACCCAAACAAATGAAATATCTATTGGACATATGTGGAATGATGAGGGAGATGCTACATTGCCAGAATACACCCCTCCAAGTGAAAATATAATTCCATTACAAGTTTGCTATGGAAGAAAGGAAGGAACAATTTATGAGTACTATGTATCAATGTTGGATGCCATTTATCAAGATGAAGATGAAAGAAATGGTGTTCCAATTAGCGAAGAAAGACTGAACAATCCAAAGCAGCAGTTATTGAGATATTTGGCAAGTCAGATTAACTCACCCTACTCTAAGGAAGCAAACATTCCATATATCTGCCACCAGATTACATTGCTAGATTTTAACAAGTATTTTTACTTGTTCGAATATGATAAAGAGAGTAACAAGTTGGTAAATATTCTCTTGCAGAGATCCAAGTTGACTAACTGTAAGGTGAGTGATGAAGAATTGGAAAAGACAAGAAAGATTATTTCAGATTCCATTGCTCATCTTGAATAAACAATTCTCAATACCAATCTATTTCAGCAAGTTGTCAATTCTGTTTACAAAACAAGTTCAAAAAAAATGAAGCAAAGCAATTCCTCTCACATACTCTGTGGTGATATCATCACAGTGATCATGGGTTATCTTCCACTGGATGAACAATTAAGATCACTCAGAGTTTGTTCCGATTGGTTCCGTGCCATTCAATCTATGCAATTTTTGTTCAAACAAGCCTTGATTGATTTTTTAAAAATTGATCAAATATTCGGGATGAATACAATTATCACCGAGCTAGAGTTTAGTAATAATAGTAGTACCAATAGTGATGAATATTTACGAGTGGGAGAACAGAGGGAAGAAGTGGATTGGCTCAGAATTCTCCAATTACAATTTGCAAAACTTCCTAAAAAGATAAAGACTGGAATTAAAGAAATTAATGAGGAGGAATTTTCAATTAAGAGTCTTTCTAGAGAGAATTATGGAAATGTTGATTTGGTTAAGGATTGGAATTCTCCATTTGATTCAGATCCAATCTCAATGGAAATTGGTGATGTGAGATTACCTCACAGTGTCTCGTTTTATGAATTTCCATTCGATTTGAGAAGTGAAATTATTGAAAAGTACAACGATAGTGAAACAGTGAGGAAGAAATTGACAGGAATTTATGTTACTTGCCTTGTCTATGAATTATTGTCTGTTGGTGATTACGTTCCAAACTTGTACAATGATATAATACGAGTGATACCTTCTTCGGACACGTTTGATGAACTATGCTTGGATAATTTCACCTTGGAAGAATCAATTGCAGCTGTTCTGTTGTGTACATTACAAGAGAATGGAGATGAAATTTTGGAAAGGTGGTTCAAGAATGATATCTTACTCAAGATAAAGCTATCTGATGTGATTTATGTCAAGTCGAGTCCTCATCCTGTTCCATCTCAAGTAACACCATCTCTTCTCATGGAAAGCATTAGAAGAGATGGACTCTCATCAAATATTCAATTATGTCCAAACATTGAGATTGTAGACTTGCGGTGGTTGTCTCTGTCAGATATCGAAACAATCAAGAACAAACTGCAATTACTAGATGACCACAGTGCTGAAATGAAACATTTGGATCACTATGTCTTTCCACTCTATTACAATGCTGGAGGAGGTTCATACGATATTGTAAATGTTATGTTCAACATTGAGGAGGATGGAAGGATTGTTAAACTCGTCAGAGAGGAATCAAGAACGTATTACTAAGAATTTAATAATCTTCAGATTTTGAATGGCTTTAATGATCCTCGTTCCTCAATACCTTTCCCAAAAAAATAAAAGGAAAGTTTTCCAGACTTTAATAATGTCCATTACAAGATTTAATGATCTAAATCATGTAAATCACATGCTTAAGCAGTTAAGAAGCCTTCAGTTGAAATAGTTGTGATGTAGAATGGAATTATAACTCTTTATTGTGTTTTTATTCAAAATCGCTGACACTACTCACGCCAGCTTAGCTCGATAAACTATAACGTTAGGGAAATTAGTCAAAAAATTAAGCCAATTGATTTCTCATTGAATTTTTAAGGTAGGAAATGGAATCATCAATGGTTTGTACCATAGTACCTTGAATAAATTGTTCAATGTAATCCTCGTCGTCTCCATGCTCGCTATCAGAGACGTCCAAGCTCTCACTGCTACTATTAGAGTATGTATCTTCATCAACATACTCACCATCTTCGTTCATTTTCAATGGTTTATGGTTTGGTTGACCATTAGTAACCAAGGTGGCAGATGAATTATTGTTGGAATTAGTTGTAGCATAGGATTGTATAGAACGATGGGAATCAATCTTTAAAAGGGAAGAACTCGATAATTGTTGTTGAATGTTATTACAAGAGGCAGCAGAACGAGAAGAAAGAGCACTGTCTGACAAGGAAGGTTGTAAGGCAGTAGGACTTGTTCGTTCACTATTGGTGTGATGGAATTTGTTCTTGATTTTGGCAAGCAATTTGAGAGCTTGCTTTTTCTTAGGAGATGGAGAATTAACACCAAGGTTTGGCATGGAGGAAGCTTTCTTATCAGAATGAGGTGAAACAGGAGAGGTCGGTAATTGTGTGTGGATGTGTGAATGAATTGGTATGTTGGCAGTTCTTACTGAGGAAGGAGAAGCCTGCGGATTCTCACATTGTTCTCCATTATCAGCATCATGTGAATAAATCATTCCAGATCTCATCATTACAAACGATTCTTCAATGTTATCATCCTCTTCATCATCAATAATAGTTCTTACGTGACGTGGAGTCTTGGCACTAGCATGAAAATCGACCAACAATTGACGACCATTATTACCAAGAGAAAAACTTCCTTCATTCTCTGTTACGGTCGATCTTCTCGAATCTTCCCTCATCAAGTGCTGATATTGCCAACTACTCGACTGCTTACAATCTCCCGAACCAACATTTTGTTGTTGTTGTTGTTGAAGTAAATTCAAAGCCAAAGGTTTCACCAGTGGATGATGTTGTCCAACAGAAGCAGCCGATAATGATGTTGCTTGAACTTTTACATTCTTGCAAGAATTTGTTGTTATTGTTGCACTACAATCGCCGGTAGAGTGTCGCTGCTGTTTGTTGTTTTGTTTTTTTGGATTCTTCGAAGAATGAAAATTTGGCGGGTTATTTCTGGTGCTATGATGATTGCCCATATTGTTATTGTTTGTTCTTGTTTGTGTTTCGAATAGTTTTGAAGGTGGAGTTGAATGAAATATTAGTAGATATTGGATATTGTGTTGTGTGTTCAATTTTTTGTGTTGAATTTTCCAGATGGATGTGTGCGGAGAAGATTTTGAGAGTTTCGGATTGCAATTTATTATTCGACAATGGTATTATGAGCACTCTTTAGTGGTGTGTCTTGTTTTTGAAAAAAATCGCCTTGTTGGGGAAGCTATCACAATGAAATGTGAGATTCTAACACATAAATGTTATCGTCCACATTCGTCTGGGTCAAAAATATTTTCAAATTTGTAACGACTAACAACCCATGATGCCGTGATTCTTAATTGAGAATCAAACAGTGTTCTACATTTACAATGATCCTCCAATCATGAATGTGAAGAGCAGGCGATTCTTGTCATTCTTATGTTTCGAACAATGTTGATGAATTGAAACTAAACAGTAGATGAAACATGGGTACTCAATTTTGAATGAATTGATTGGACTGATAAACAATTCAATTTTTTTCAAGATTTTCCTTCCTTGCTAGTTTTTTATTATCAACTTGGAAAGTGTTGAATGATTTGGAGGATTGTGTGCACCATCCTAATCCATTCAAAATTTCCATATTTGAGAAAGAATGGTGGGTCGTTGTAACCCCTGGACATGATTTATTTTATCAACAGCTGGCCTAATATGTGATGTAAAAGAGTTTCAACAAAGTTGTGGAAGCAATGTATTTGTGGCAGTGTAATTGCCGCCTGTTTCACTGTTTCTTAATATACAGTTATTGTCCAATCCAAATATTACAATCTCACCTATTCAACACTTCAATTAAGTTCTCTTCATTCTCTTGCTCATAACAAAAATTCTTCATCCTCTTCGTCAATTTCGCCACCAATATTGCTCTCATCAATAATTGCTTGAATTAATTGAATACCCAATTCATTTTCCACAAAATTTCTGAATTCCTCCTTCTTATCAAAATTAATTCCATTATAGTTGTACCATTTACAATAAAACCTTGTGAGTGCTAGGGAGGTGGATTCATCTTCATTGAAATGTGTACTTTGTTTCAACAATAGTAACAATGCAAATAAATTATCCATACTTAAATGCACAACAGAGAGATTTTCAATTGCAACTCCTGAAAATCTTGGTCCAAACTTTTCCACAAGAATTTTCAATGTTGACATGAATTTAGACTCATCAATGTCTGAAATGTAATCAAAAAGCTTGTCTAATTTGTTGATCGTAGTTGCAGTCTCAATTGGTGGAATAGTGGCTCCTCTCTCAATCAGGTACAAAATGGCATCAATATTTGATTTATGCCTTATGAATTGTGCAAGTGGAGATGTGCCATTGGGCAATAAATAATTAATATCAACTCCATTCTCTACGAGAAATTTGAGGGTTTTTGTCGTTCTAGTATCAGTGAGAGACATGGGAAGAGGAACGTCTAATTTGAGTCCAAACTCTTGGTGAGCTCGTTGTAAAAGTTCTATAATTAAATCCTCATGCTCATCCTCATTCATAAAAAATACACCCTTTCTGATAATACTATCAATGAATTCATAATGATCAAATCCATTACACTCCATCAGTTTCATATCTTTTAGGTATAATTCAATATTTTTCCAATTAGGATATAAAGCATTCATATAAATATTAGTGTACGGCTCTACCATACTCTCCTTAAATTTTATCAATTTCTTACTCTTGAATAGCTCAACACATTTTCCTACAAATTCAATATGTGATTCATTATTCATTGATACTCTTGAAACTATTAATTTTAACAAATAAGCAGGTACTCCTGACTTAGCAGTAGATTTCACTTCATTCTTATATTTTTCAAAGAATGTCTCAGAATTATTCCGCTCTTTCAAGAAAGATCTTATTTTCCTAGACTCAATTAATGGTTCAATATATGTGGAGACATTTAGTCCACAATCACATATAAAGAATGACGCAACTGTGTCAAAAAACTCTTCCTCTCCAATAACTTGATGAATTAGTGCTTGTTTGATAAAAATGTGAAATATTGTTGTTGAAGTATTGAAAATTCCCAAATTTGCAACCACCTTCTTATCGAAAAATTGATTATTTTCAATAAGTTTCATGATTTGCGTCCATTCGGATTTGTCTTGAAATAAAGAAGGTTGTTCAAAAGTGATGGCCAATTTTGCCATTTCCAAAGCAATCAATCTCTTTCTTCTCTCCCTTATAAACTGAATGCATTTCGTCTTGTATGAATCTCCATAAATGTCATCATTAGTTTCTTTCCTTTTTGTGAATGGCTTCATGTCCACCACCAGAATTTTCTCTCTATTTTTCAAACTGGACACATAGTGCTGCCTCTCCTTGAGAATATCATTTTTCTTGATAACAAGATATTCCGGATAGGCATAAGTAATACAATTTTCTAATGTTTCACTGGCACAATCAAGTATTTGTTGTTTCATCATACGCTTTAAAGAGGCCAACCAAAACATTTCATAATTAGTTGTTTGATACCAATCCCGACAGACGAGCATTAAATTATTTAAATACTGATCGGGTGATGTGAAGGAAGTAAAAATATGAAACAGAATCTCTGCAGGAAGGTGTTGCGCCATTTTTCATAAATTATTGTAATCCTTTGTTTGATCTAGTTCGTCTTAATCATGGCAAGTTTTTACTCCCTTTTCTTTCCTAGCGTATCGAGTGAAAATTGATTACAAATATTCAAAATTTGTAAAATTTCCTGCACAGTCTCTGAAAATCCTCAAAATCAAGGGAAAATTCGGTACACTACCGATTGCACTTCCTTGAACTGAACCTAAAACTGTTTTTCTACAAGTTAAAAGTTATCGCAAGTTCAGTTTACAAAAAAAAAATTAACAACACATGACAGAAACACTCCCTCTCGCTGATCTTACACATCCCTATCAAGAGGAGACAGATCCAAAGTTTGCCGAATTATTAAAACAAGCCTTTTCTATTAATAATGGTGATTTGAATATTTCGGATGATGCAATTGATCAATTTTGGAAGATTAATTTTGTATTGAACGGAGGAGAGCAGATCAAAACTTATCATCTTCATCAGGAGGCTTTGAAAAATTATAGTGAATTGTTTGGTGATTTGATTAGAAATGCTTTTGAATTTTCTGATGTGATGGAAAAATCTACAACCATTGGTTTGATGATTCCGAATGAACTGGCTGTTTTTGAGAAGATAATTATTCCATGTTTATATGGATCGAAACGTACTTCGATCTGTAGAGGATTAGATTTGGTAATTGCTTATAATTTCTTTGATTATTTGCAGATGGAAGGTTGGAAACAAGCTGTTAAGAAGGAATTAGATGAATTGTATTCTTTCAAGTCAATTAGGTTGAAATCAGAATGTTTGGATCAACATACGGAATACTTTTTGAGGGTTTTCTTTACAGAACATCCAACATTTGTTATTGACACATATTATATCAATTATCACTATGAGAGATTTGTGATTGGTATTAACAAATTCCTTTTAGAAAAGAATAGAAAGAGGTGCCTTCAACTCTTGCTTGGTTTTGATATCTTTTCATTTATTTCCTTGTTATCTAATGAAAAGATAGGAATTTATTCGGAATATCAAGTGTATCGAGCTATTTCTTGGTTCATCGAATCACATCCAGAGATTAATCAAGTTGAAAGGGATAATTTGTGGAAATCATTGAGAGTTTGTAGTCTTAGTAATCAGGAATTTGAGGAGCTCATGAGCAATTCAACCATAAGTGAAAATTTAAAAAATGAAATGCAAAACAACCGACTCAAGAACTATTCAGAATTGGAGCCACGAACCTACATTCAATCGATTGTGTATTGTGGATCTATAAGTGGATATATCGAAGTTTGGGATCTCTACAGAGAAAAATGCGTCACCTCATTGAAAGTGCATTCCAATATTATACACGATATCAAAACCTTTAAAAGGGAGAATCAAAATTATATTTTCACATGTGGAGAGGATGGTCATGTTATACTTTCCCGATGTTCTAATGATCATTCAATATTGGAACAATTGACCAGTTTTAAATTAGAATCGCCAGTCCTCACCATGGACTTGAATGATAATTTTTTGGTTGTAAACTCAAGTGTAGGGTCTATTCATATTTTTGATATTTCGATTAGCTCACCAACAGATCCTACTCCAATATTTAAGGAAGTGCAATTCGAAAGAAAGGCAGATACTTCAAATGTTCGTTGTGTTTGTCTCTTTGGAGATTATTTAATTGCAGGTCTAGTTAATGGTGCAGTAAAGATGTGGTATGCTGGAAACTTATCGGAGGAATGGGATGTAAAAAGATCACACACGGATGCTGTACTCTATTTAAAACGGGTCACTATTGATCATAAGGATTATTTATTGAGTGCCTCATGCGATAGGTCTGTAGTTTTGTGGGATATTTCTGATGCCCATTTTGTACAAGTCAAGAAAATTGAAGTATCCAATGGATTTGTTTATGCCGTTGATGTCATGTTGCTCTCATCAGATTTGAGTATGAACTATATAGTAACTGGTTCAACAGATAGACAAGTTACCATCGCCAAATTTGATGGACAACAATCAAAGGCATTGAGAAGTCACAAAAACTTTGTCTATGAGGTAATTGTCAATAATCTCAGTATTATTAGTTTTTCAGATGATAATACCATTCGAGTGTGGAATTCAGAAAGTGGAGAATGTGATCAAACTTTCCATCCATCATCTAGCATTAGATGTGCAACACTTCCTTCTTCCTGTAACTCTGTTTTACCTCATTCCACATGTCCAATCCAATAAATCCACACAATATCATGAATTCCTTATTGTAATCCTTAAGAGAGGACATTGAAATCGGACTTTCAAAAATTCATTTCCTACCCACTATTACCTGTACAACATTAAAAATCAACAACAATCAGTACTAATACTCATCTTAATAATAAAACAATCATCATAACACAGAATTGAACTATTGACTGAGGGCTAAAAAAGAAATTGATTTTGATTTAAAATTGGCGCACTTTATATTTAAAAAAATATTCAAAAACAAAAGATGCAGGATATTTCCATCACTAGAGAAGTCTTTACTCAAACACTGGCCCGAGTTGTTTGTTCTCCAATACAGCGTATTCAAGTTGCCCAACAAACACGTACCGTACAGGGAAATGCCTTTCATGTTCTGATTAAAATTGTTACCACTAAAAAGACTGATGATTCAACATCATCTTTATCATCATCGACGAATAATTCAACATCTACTACTGTAGCTTCGGAAAAGAAAGTTATTAATGGTTTGGCTTTGTATAGAGGACTTGATGCAAGTTTGCTGAACGCTTGGGCAAAGGTTTTAGGAAAACGTCTTTGTTCTGCTATTGTACCAAATAATAATTTCTTGGGACATGTAATTAGTCCATTGTTATCTTTACCATTCAGTACAGTTTATGTAAAATTGGTTTCCGATCCATCAATGACTAATGATAATGTTTTTACTGGATTAAAGAAGGTATTTAATGAAGAAGGATTATTAGGATTATATAGGGGTTTCCTTCTTCAAGTTATTGGTAACGAAATTCATTCTGTATTTTATCTTATTATTCATAGTGCCTTGGCTCCACTATTGAAACGTAAATCACTTGCAACAGGTTCTTCATTTACTGATGAATTAATTTGTGGAACATTGACAACTATTTTGACAAGCCTTATTACCTATCCTTTATTAACAGTTACCAGACGTATACAAGCTCAAAAGAAATCAGAACAACAATCAGTACCAGAAACTGTAAAGGCCATTAAGAGTGAAGGTTTACGTAGATTCTATTCTGGTTTTGCTGCCTCTATGACTTATTCAATTCTTTGTACTCCTGTTTCTTTTGTTGGAGACATTATTTATGGAACATTGATGAGAAAATAAAGGGTCTTGTTACAATGGTCTAATTTATTATTACAGCTACTAGTTCAGCATTGTTCAGAAAAGATTGAGATTACAATAATAAGATAGGACCTATAACTCCAGGAGTGGTTTATATTCATCCATTGACAAGTTTGGCATATTTCGCATATCACACAGATTTGGAACATTGTCACATGTAATAATAGGATGAAGAGAGCTGGTTAAATACTGTTGAAATGTTCCATTCTAATCTTTAGCAATTCGCCCAGAATTTCACTAGATGGAAGAAAGAACCCATTCTGTTTTACAGCCTCAATTTCCATTTCTCTTGTCTTGTCTATCAGGACCTTACCAAGAACACATCCATTCAATCGTATAGCTTGCAAACAAAATTCTGAATCGAATCTGAAATCATCAATGCAATATCTAACCACTTCAGGATTCTCTTGTGAACATTTCAAAATAAATTCTCTATCTTTCTTTAATTCATCAGGTACTTTACTGATAAGGTAGGCTAGGCCTCCCTTCATTGTTTCTAAAGCAATTTCCTTATCTTTTTTGAATTCTTCTGGAATTCCCTTGTATGCACTTGCACTTTCTTTCACAACTTTTAGAATCATCTCTCTAGTGAATGGAATGTCTGACAAGTTTTTAAAGTGATTGAAACTTCCTGGATCCTTCTCTACAACTGCCAAAACAATTTCCTTATCTGAGAGTAAACTTTCTGGGAGGCATTCTGCCAACATTGAACAATATTCAATTGATTTGATTGCTTTTAGTATGAATTCCTTATCATCCTTCAATGATTCGTGAAGATGATGTAGCACCTCTGAACCTCCAGCATTGATTGCTTGAAGCATGAATTCCTTATTCTTCTTCAAAGAAAGGGGTATGATGGCAGCAATTTCTGGAGCATAAGAGAGTGCTAACAAAATGACTTCTTTGTGATTTTTAGAGTCTTTTGAACCTCCAGTTGACTTGATTTTCTGTACAAATTGGACATCTTTCAAAATATCATTTGTGGCATAATTCAATGTTTCAACATCCAATTTAACAGCATCTGATATAATTGTTCTATCTTTTCTTACCTCCTTATCAGCAAATAATAATACATGAGGATCTATTTTAATCAATCTTCCAATAAGCAACTTATCCTTCTTTAAATTTTCATCAGCATGATAGAATGCAAGGAACGATGCTTCCCTCACTGCCTTAATAATCATTTCTCTACTCAGATTTGGCCCAATTTCCTGCATTATATTCAAACTCCTCTGAATTGCAATCAAGCAAAATTCATCATCCTTTTTAAACTTTTCAGGTAAATCCCAAAATTCAATCTCCTTCTTTTTGAACTTTTCCAACATTTCTTTCCTATCCACAACTGCTACTTTCTTTGGAGGAAATTTCTTCAACCCCTTTCTAATTGCCTCCTTAATAAAATTAATGTTATATTCACTGGCTCCATCCATCAAGATTGGATTTTGTTCAATCATCTTACTAATAAATTCCTGATCCTTCTTCAATGAATCAGAGATGAATTCCAACGCCGGAAAGGAACTCATCTTTACCAATGCTTCCATGATTAATTTCTTATCGGATCTCAATTCCTCAGAAGCCCATTCAAAGGTTCTACTGTACATTTCGACATTCCTCTTTACATAATCACGATCATTTCTAAACTCGATCGGAATGAACGAATTTCTCAATATTTTACGATTTTCTTCCCACTTTTGATTATCTCTACTCTTCTTCCGTATGTGTTGCAATTTGCTTTTTTAGAGATAAGCTTATTCATCATGTCCTTACCTTCTTCAACTCATCATACACTTGATGTTGGGACATTTTTTTCGTGTAATACTAGTAGTAACACATTCAATAGGATCAAGATGAAGAGTATTGGATTTAACACTGTATTTCTTTGTAATTTTCCACAACATTACAAAAACAAGAACTCTTCCGAACATTTTCTCTAAATTTCTCCACATCTTCTGAAATCTAATAATAAAAATCAAGAAGAAAAAAACAAATAATCATGAAGATGATGGGTTCCCTATGTCGTGCTGGTTTAGTAAAATTCAGCATGACTCCACGAGTCAATAAAACCAACACTGATCATTCCTACTCACAACAGGGAAGATGTAAATTCCGAATTAAATCATCGACCAATTTACAATATAAGAGTGGAGCCTATCGATTGCACAAGACAAGTGCCACTTCATCATCGGAAGAGGTCATTACAAATTCCTATCACAAGTATAATAGTGAGAAGGGATATAGAAGAGTTGAATATATTAAAACAGCAGAGGAACATCACCAACAAAAGTGGAAACATTATAGACATGATCATAATAGAGATACTAATCATAAGAAGTGGCACAGAAATCATCCAAAGGATGGATTTTATCAAAAGAGAGAGGAATTTGGAATGGATGAGTAGTTTGAGTTCTGCAATCTATTCGAAAGATGGTGACCTTGTGAAAAATGGTTCAAGTTGACAGATCGAACCAAAAGAGTCAACTGTTTACAATAATCAAAAAGCACTAATGACTCAAACTGAAATGTTCACAAGCAATAATTCTGTGCACCATTTATTAAGATTTCGAATTTTATTTTTCTAATAAGAATAAATTAAAATTAGTCAATTTTGAAACTATTTAAGAATTTTATCCACAAAAAGTATCCAAATTATTTCCAGCAATATAATTTCATATCAAATTAGAAGAAGTCACCACATGAGCATTTGCCATCTTTAAAATGATGATGCCTACTGGCATCTCTCACAATTATTTCCCTTTTTCTTATTTTGGAAATGAATTTGGTAGCTGTATGGCAATCGCCACACACTCTCAAATTCTTTCTCATCACAATTGGTTCATCTTTTGGTAATGAAATAAAAGCAAATGCCATTGCTATTCTTTCGGAGTGTCTACATAATAATTCTTTCTTCTTTTTTTCATCATTTGGATCAACATCTAACCTTGTTACCCATCTAGTATCTGGAGCATAACCAGCATCTAACATTTCCTTATTCAGCTTTTCTAACTCTTGGTTAATTTCTTGCATTCTAGGGTGGTATGAATCATCTGACACAAAATTATGGGTCTCACCATCAACCTCAATAGTGGTAATTCCAGGAATTTTCGTTGCATTATTACGTTTCATTAATTCCCTTACTTCGTTTGCCTTGTCAATTTGTCCCATTTGATTGTAAATATGTGACATTTGTACATAGTGGGAAGCTTGTTCATTGTCTATTTCTAAGAGAATATCAAACGTTCTTTCAGCTATTTCAACATTCGTATGAATTCTGCATGCTCCCAGTAGTGTTACCCAACTAACTACATCTCTTGATGAACCAATAAATTGTTCAGCCTCCTCCAAATATCCACTTCTGGCCAAAACATCTACCATACAAGCTTTGTGACTTGGTGTACATACTTGTGTATTTTCAATTGACTTGTAAATTCTTCTTGCCTCATCAACTAACCCTGCATGACTACAAGCGGTTAAAACACTTGTAACAGCCTCTGCACTTGGGAGTTGGTTTCTATCAATTATTTGTTGATACAAATAAACAGCCTCTTTTCCTTTTCCATGTTTGGCATAAGCATCTATCATAACACTTGTCAAGATTGGATCAAATGGTGGGTTGTTAGATAAATATTCATTGAATACTGATTCTGCTCTTTCCAATCTTCCAACTTTTGCATGAAAGCTTATAGTTGCACCAATCCAAAAGACACTTTTTGCTATATGTTTTGTTTTGAACTGCTGCACCACCTCCTCTCCCTGCTTAATGGCAACACTGTCTGCACATAGAGTAAGAAGGCTAACATATGTTATTTCATCTGGTTCAATGTTGAGTTTTTTCATTTCCTCTAGCAATTCAAAGGCTCTTGTAATATCTTTCCTAGATCGCAGAGCTTGGATTGCACTATTCCATGATACAACATTTGTCTTGTTTTCTTTTTTAAGTTCTTCAAATATTTCAAGTGATATACTGGTTTGTCCACATTTTGTGTAAAAATTCATTAATGTATTTGACAATTCCAAACTTGAAATTTTCAATACTTTGATTATTTCATGTAATTTCACTCCTTCTTCATAAAGTTGATTGTCTGCACATAAAGTTAGTAAAATAGTAAATAAAATAGTATCTGCTTTGATATTATTGGCTTGCATTTCTTCCAATAAACCAATTGCTCCTCTGATGTCTTTTTTCTCTCCAAGGGCCTGAATTGCACATGACCAAGAAACTACATTCATTTTCATCTTGTCAATTTTAAGCTGTTCAAATAGTTGAAGTGCAACATCAGGTTGACCACATTTTGTGTAAAAATTCATTAATGAATTACTCAATTCTAAACTTGAAATGTTCAATACTTTGATCATTTCATGTAATTTCACTCCTTCTTTGTAATATTGATTTTCTGCACACAGACCAATTAATATAGTGAACGTAATAGTATCTGGTTTAACATTGAGCAATTGCATTTCTGCAAGAAGGTCTATTGCTTTCTGGGTGTCTTTAGCTAGCACTAAGGCTTGAATAGCACTGTTCCAAGAAATAGCATTGGTATTATTTTCTTTTTTCAAGTCCTCAAATAGCTGAAGCGCAACGTTAGTGTGGCCACATTTTGTGTAAAAATTCATTAATGTGTGTGACAATTCCAAACTAGAAATTTTCAATACTTTGATTATTTCATGTAATTTCACTCCTTCTTCATAAAGTTGATTGTCTGCACATAGAGATAATAATATGGTAAATAAAATAGAATCTGCTTTGATATTATTGGCTTGCATTTCCTCCAATAAACCAATTGCTCCTCTGATATCTTTTTTCTCTCCAAGGGCCTGAATTGCACATGACCAAGAAGCTACATTCAATTTCATTTTGCCAATTTTGAGCTGTTCAAATAGTTGAAGGGCAACATCAGGTTTACCACATTTTGTGTAAAAATTCATTAATGTGTTTGACAATTCTATATTTTCCATACCAAGGCTTTTGATAATTGTATGTAATGTTACTCCTTCGCTATAGAGCTGATTCTTTGCGCATAAACTAACTAATGTAGTAAATGTTACGAAGTCTGGTTTAACAGAATTGATTTGCATATCCTTTAACAAATCAATAGCTTTGTTGATGTCTTTTTTTTGTCCAAGAGCTTGGATTGCACAATTCCATGATATAACATTCGTCTTGTTTTCTTTTTTAAGTTCTTCAAATATTTCAAGTGATAAATTAGGTTGGCCAGACTTAGTGTAAAAATTCATTAAGGAATTACTCAATTCTACATTTTCAATTTTGTGTATTCTCATCTGCTTGTGAAACAAAACTCCCTCCTTTAACAATTTTCGTTCTGTGCACTTATTCACTACAGCTACTAACATGGAAACATCAACCATAATATTGGTTTTTGCCATACTATCCAGTAGCTCGGTTACCTTTGTTATATCTTCTTTTTGGATAAGTGCTTGAATTACACAATTCCAAGATACGTTATCAGCTTTGTTTTCTTTTGTAAGATGTTCAAACATCGCGAGTGAAACTTCAGGTTTGTGACATTTGGTGTAAAAGGTCATCAATGTATTGCTCAATTCCAAACTCGATACATTTAACCTTTGTATGAACTCATGCAATTTTACACCTTCCTCATAGAGCTGATTTTCCGCGCAGAAACTAATAAGTATTGTGAATGTAATAGTGTCTGGTTTGACTTTGTTTGATTCCATTTCTTCCAATAAATCAATAGCTTTTTTGAAATGTTTCTGTTTAGCAAGAGCTTGAATTGCACAATTCCATGATACAACATTTGTCTTGTTTTCTTTTTTAAGTTCTTCAAATATTTCAAGTGATATACTGGTTTGATCACATTTGTTATAAAAATTCATTAATGTGTTCGACAATCCTAAACTAGAAATTTTCAATACGTTGATAATTTCATGTAATTTCACTCCTTCTTCATAAAGTTGATTGTCTGCACATAGAGATAATAATATGGTAAATAGAATAGAATCTGCTTTGATATTATTGGCTTGCATTTCTTCCAATAAACCAATTGCTCCTCTGATGTCTTTTTTCTCTCCAAGGGCCTGAATTGCACATGACCAAGAAGCTACATTCAATTTCATTTTGCCAACTTTGAGTTGTTCAAATAGTTGAAGGGCAACATCAGGTTTACCACATTTTGTGTAAAAATTCATTAATGAGTTACTCAATTCTAAACTCGAAATTTTCGATATTTTGATCATTTCATGTAATTTCACACCTTCTTTGTAATATTGATTTTCTGCACACAACCTAATTAATATAGTAAATGTTACACTATTTGGGTTAATATTTCTCTTTTTCATTTCCTCCAAAGCGCCTATTGCTTGTTCTATTTGTTTTTGTTGAGCAAATGCTTGAATGACACAAGTAAAAGTTATGACATCTATTGGCTTATTTTGTGAAATGATATCTCTATAGAGCTCTATTGCCATTTCCTCGTGTCCACACTTTGTATAAAACTTGATTAGTATGCCATCAAGTGTTACGCTGGAAATGTTTGACTGTTTGATCATGTT